CTATGTTCTGCCTAATTTCTTTAGTAGTGTAAAATCTCAATTGAAAAATTCATAAAGCTTAAGTCAGAATGTGATGGAAGATCACATCATTCACCTTATGAAACTAGAAAAAAGAGAAAACTAAACCTAAAGCAAACAAAAAGTCAGCAAATATTAAGCAGAAATAAATGAAATAGGGAACAGAAAAAGAGAAGGTCAACGAATTCAAAAGTTAAAGATCAACAAAACTGATACTTCTAGCTAGACAAAGAAAAAAAGAGAAAAAGTTCAAATTACTAAAATCAGAAATGAAGGAGGGGATTACAGAAATAAAAGCAATAATAAAATATGAAGAATTATATGCCAGCAAATTAGGTAACTTATGAAATGGACAAATTTCTAGAAAGATAAAAATTCCTATCACTAACTCAAGAAGAAATAGAAAATCTGAAGAGATCCATAAAGAAACATTAAATTTGTAATCAAATACAACTCAAATATAAGTTCAGACCCAGATGGCTTCACTGGTGAACAGTGAAAAAAAGAATTAATACCATGACAGGTGCTGTGGCGTAGAGGGTAAAGCCACCACCTGCAGTGCTGGCATCCCATATGAGCACTGGTTCAAGACCCAGGTACTCCACTTCTGATCCAGCTCTCTGCTACGGGTTGGGAAAGCAGTAGAAGACAGCCCAAGTTCTTGGGCCCCTGCACCCACATGAGAGATCTGGAAGAAGCTCATAGCTCCTGGCTTCAGCCTGGCCCAGCCCCAGCCAGCCGTTGTGGCCATCTGGGGAGTGAACCAGCAGACAGAAGATCATTCTCTGTCTCTCCTCTTCTCTCTGTAACTCTGCCCTTCAAAAAAAATTTTTTTTAATCTTACATAAAATACATGATCATCTCAACAGATAGAGAAAAGGCATGTGACAAAGTCCAACATTCTTTTATGATAAAAACACAATAAACCAGGAATAAAAGGAACTTCCTTAACCTGATATGAAAAACTGATATCTAGCATCATACTTAATGTTAAAAAAACTGAATGCTTTTGCCTAACATCATGAGCAAACAAGGATACTCACTTTCATCATTTCTATTCAATATTATATCTAAGATTCTAACCAGTGAAATTAGACAAGAAAGTAAAATAAAATGCATACAAACTAAAAAGAAAGAAGTAGGGGTTGGCACTGTGGTACAATGAGGCTAAACTGCATCCCATATTGGAGTGCCAGTTCAAGTCCCAGCTACTCCATTTCTGACACAGTTTCCTGCTAATGAACCTGGGAAGCAGCAGATAAATGATGATTCAAGTCCTTGAATTCCTTGTTACCCATCTGGGAGGCCCAGATGGAGTCCCTGGCTCCAGGCTTTAGCCTGCACCAGGCCATTGTTGCAACAGCCATTTAGGGGGTGAAACAGAGGATAGACAAACTCTCTCCTCACTCCCTTACTCTCTTTTCTCTCTCCCTCTGTCACTATTCCTTTCCAATACAAAAATAAATCTTTAAAAAAAAAAAAGAGTAAAACGAACTTGAATTTTCAGATGACATGATTTTATATACAGAAAATCCTAAAGAATCAACAACAACAAAAAATACCTACTAGAATAAGTGAGTTCAACAAATCTACAGGATAGGTATCAGTATACAAAAATCAACTGCATTTGGCGCCAGTGCCATGGCTCACTTGGTTAATCCTCCACCTGCAGCACTGGCATCCCATGTGGGCGCCGGGTTCTAGACCCGGTTGCTCCTCTTCCAGTCCAGCTCTCTGCTGTGGCCCGGGAGGGCAGTGGAGGATGGCCCAAGTGCTTGGACCCCTGCACTTGCATGGGAGACCAGGAGGAAGCACCTGGCTCCTGGCTTCAGATCAACGTAGCTCCAGCCGTAGTGGCCATTTGCTGGATGAACCAACAGAAGGAAGACCTGTATCTCTCTCTCACTGTCTAACTCTATCCATCAAATAAAAAAGAAAAAAAAAATCAACTGCATTTATTTTTTTAACATTTTTTAAGATTTTTTTTTCTTATTTATTTGAAAGGCAGAGTTACAGAGAGGCAGAGGCAGAGAGAGAGAGAGGTCCTCCATCCGCTGGCTCACTCCTCAGATGGCACCAACAGCCAGAGCTGCACCAGTCCAAAGCTAGGAGACAGGAACCTCTTCTGGGTCTCCACACAGGTGCAGGAGTCCAAGGACTCGGGCCAATTTCTCTTGCTTTCCCAGGCCATAGAAAAGAGGTGCACTGGAAGTGGAGCAGCTGGCACTCCAACTGGCACCCATATGGGATGCAGGCACTGCAGGCGGCAGCTTTACCTGCTTAAGCAGCAGTGCTGGCCCCAGTCAACTGCATTTATATGCACCTGAAATAAACAATCTGAAATTTAAATTTTTAAAAAGCTCCATTTATAACAGCATCAAAAAGAATACAATATTTAAGACAAATTTAACATGAAATGCATGATTTGTATACTGAAAATTACAGAATATTGAAAATAAATTTAAAATACTCTAAATAAATGAAAACAAATCCTATGTTTATGATTGGAAGACTTAATACTGTTAACATGACAATATTCTCCTAACTGATCAGCTTCAATGCAATTCCAATTGACAACTCAGCTGAATTATCTGCATAAATTGATAAGTTGATTCAAAAATGTATATAGAAACTTGAATGACTCCAAATATCAAAAAAAAAAAAAAAAAAAAAACCTATTGACCGACACCGCGGCTCACTATGCTAATCCTCCGCCTTGCGGCACCGGTACACGGGGTTCTAGTCTCAGTCCGGGCGCCGGATTCTGTCCCAGTTGCCCCTCTTCCAGGCCAGCTCTCTGCTGTGGCCCGGGAGTGCAGTGGAGGATGGCCCAAGTCCTTGGGCCCTGCACCCCATGGGAGACCAGGAGAAGTACCTGGCTCCTGCCATCGGATCAGCGCGGTGCACCAGCCGCAGCACGCCGGCCGCAGCGGCCACTGGAGGGTGAACCAACGGCAAAGGAAGACCTTTCTCTCTGTCTCTCTCTCTCTGTCTACTCTGCCTGTCAAAAAAAAAAAAAAAAACTATTGAAAAAAGACAACCTGAATTGGAAGACACACTCCCCAGTTCCAAAATTTACTACAAAACCACTTAATAATATTGTGTGTTAGCATAACAATAGACTTCTGGATCAATGGAATAAAACTGAGAACCTAAAAATAAACCCTGAGGTTATAATAAGTTGATTTCAACATGGATGTCAAGATAATTCAATGGGGAAAAAAATCATCTTTTTATTTTTTTAAGAATCACCTTTTTATAAAAATGGGGCTAAGACAACTGAATATCTATTAGCAAAAGAATGAAGTTGGGCTCCTATTTCATACCATCTACAAAAATCAATACAGCATAGATCACAGACCTAAATCTAAGAGCCAAAACCATAAAATTCTGGAAGAAATCATGAATACAAATCCCTGTGACCTTCAATTAGACAATGCCTTCTTAGATACAATATCAAAACCAAGGCAATGAAAGGAAACAGATAAACCAGAATTCAGCAAAATTCTAAACTTTCGTGTTCTAAGAATACCATGAAGAAAGTGAAAGGCAATTCAAAGAATGGAAAAGACGTGAAGATCATATACCTGATAACAAATTCGTCTCTAGAATATACAAAGAACATTTAAAAGACAACTTAAAAAAAGACAAATATCCAATTAAAAAGTAAGAAAAGGATCTAAATAGACATTTCTCTGAAGAAAACAGATAAATGTCTAATCTCATTTAAAAAAGATTGTCATCCTTAGCCATCAGCAAAGAGCGAATCAAAACAATGATATTTCATAATCAAAAGGATAGCTATCAATTAAAACAGATATAATAAGTATTAGCAGGATAAGGAGAAATGAAACATTCATATATTGCTGGTGGAATATAAAATGATTCAGCTGATTCAGAAAATTATATTGAAGCACCTTAAAAAGGTTAAACTTACTCACCATGTGACCCAACAACTCCACTTCTAGAACAAACTCAAGATGTATACAAAGATTTGCACACAAGTATTCATAGCATCATTATTCATAATAGTCTAAAAACGGAAACAACTCAAATGTCCATCAATTGATGAGTAGAAAAACAAAATGCAGGGGCCAGCATGATGGCACAGCAGGGTAAGCCACTGCCTGTGATGCCAGCATCCCATATGGGCACCAATTTGAGCCCTAGCTGCTCCACTTCCATTTGTACTCCCTGCTAATATAGCTGGGAAAGCAGAAGATGGTCCAAGTACTTGGGCCCCTGCCACCCATGTGGGAGACCCAGATGGAGTTACAGGCTCTTGGCTTTGGCCTGGCCCAGCCCCAGCAGTTGCAGCCATTTGGTGTGTCAACCAGGGAATGGAAACACACAAACTCTCTTCTCCCTCTCCTCCACCCCCATAACTCTACCTTTCAAATAAATAAAATATTTTTTTAAAAGAAAGAAAAATAAAATGTAGACCATTCATACACTGGAATATTATTTGGCCATAAAAAGAAAAGAAATAATAGCATATATTATAACATGGATGAATCTGGAAAACACTATCATCAATGACAGAAACCAATCACAAAGAATACATATTGTGTAATGTCATTTATGTGAAACCCAAAACAAGCAAATCTATAGAACCAGAAAGATTAGTGGTTGCCCATGGCTTGGAGGGTTACTGTTAATGGTTAACAGAGAATAAAGAGTGACTGCTAATGAGTACAGGGTTTCTTTTGTGATGATGAAAATATTCTAATCAACTAGTGATCTAATTGTGGTGAACTCTGTGAATATACAAAAACCACTTAACTCATAGTCAAACAACTGCACCATCCGTATTTAGAAAAACATTTGTAATAGAATCGAAAACATAATTCAAGGTTTACAGAGACTCTTAAATATAAATATGGATCAAACATGGAAGTACTACAGTTTTAAAAAAATCAGAATTTTTTATCTTTGAATTATACAAATAGTCTTTATATTTGTTTACTTTTGAGAGTACCTACTTTCCAAAAGGTCTGCAACTGCTCCAGGATCTACTGCATTTTCAAATACCTGCAGAGAAAAATGTAGAAAACAAATTTTCAAAGTTTTTATTAGGTGCTTATAAACTGTAGATTATATTCGTCTAAATAATTAACATGTGAAAAAAATCCAGCAATACAGTATTTTAGGATTCAATAGATGCATATAAATGGGTACATGGCTAAAGTTCAACAAATGACTACACAGTAAATGAAAATTAACCTAAGAGCAACAAGTACAAGGATATTTGAGTTAGCTAAATCTACCACATGCCTAAAATGTCATCACCTTGACCTAGCTCAACTATCTGTTGCTAAAATCACATCTTACAGAGTGGTCATTTGTTACAGCAGTTAAGATATAGGCATTTGGGTAGTGAATGGGCAGTTGGAAAATTTCTCTCCCTCTCTTTCAAATTAACAAAATAACATCAACCTCAAAGTCTTAACTATCTAGAAAAACATCCTACATATAACAGATACTTAATATTAATTCAATGAATCACCTCTTTCCAAAGAATTGCTTATGCTAAAAAGTAATATAAATAGAAAATCTAGCCTATGTGTAACACAAAAGAAAAGCTAAATACTAGCAGCCATACTTTCACAGAATTAAACCAACAAAATGAAAGTCTCGTAAGTTTCAAATGTACCATATAAATAACAAAAAAGCATTGTGATATGTGCCTTGCTACTGCCAAAGCTGCATATTTTATCCCTGAGACATAAAGGTTTGGGATAGGAGTGAAATAAAAGGCATGGTTCTCCCCTCCTCCTGAACTCTAGAACTCTGTGAGAAATAAAGTTATCAACAGAGTTTGATTTCAGGCCTTAAAATTCTGATTTAAATGATCTTTAAACTTAAGCATGGTTAAATCTGTCCTCAAGTCCAAAACCAAGTCTGTTTTAAGGAATGAACTAGTGGTTGTCCCCTGTAATCCTTTTTTTATCTTACTGACTTGAATTATTAAGCAAGCAAATTTCCATAGCTTTTTTTCTGCCTAAATTGTTTCAATGATTGCAACCTTTTGCTTTCACTTATTGTTATGGGTTGAATTGTGTTCCCACTCCAAATTCAAAGACAGGAATTCTAACCCCAGTGTCTAAGAATATGACCTTATGTGCAGATGTAATTAAGTCAGAATGAGGTCATACAACTGGTGTCCTTATTGAAAAGGGAAATCTAAGTACAGGGACTGTTCAAAGAAATACTTTAGACAGAATAAACTCAACAGAATTGATTTAAGCAATGAGAAATCATGAATCTGTAAACTCAGAATCTGAAGAGGTTCAGAGAACTCCACTGCTGCTGTGTGGATTGCCAGTTTTTATAAGTGGATGTGGAAATAAGACAACTACATTTGATCAGTTAGAGTAGAAAGACTCCAGTCAGAGCTAAGTCAGCAGTTTCTGATAGGCAGTCTCTAGTGAGAGGTTAGTTGATTAAATCTAGTTGGTGAAGTTTCGAGTTTCACTTTATTTCAACTTTATTTGAAAGACACAGAGGGGCCAGCACTGTGGTGTATTAGGTAAAGCCGCCGCCTCTGGTATCCCTTATGGGCGCCAGTTCAAGTTCCCACTTCTGATCCAGCTCTTTGCTATGGCCTGGGAAAGCAGTAGAAGATGGCCCAGGTCCTTGGGCCCTTGCACCCACGTGGGAGACCTGGAAGAAGCTCCTGGCTCCTGGCTTCAGATCGGCACAGCTCCGGCCATTGCAGACAAGTGGGGAGTGAACCAACAGATGGAAGACCTCTCCCTTTGCCTCTCCTTCTCTCTCTGTGTAACTCTGACTTTCAAATAAATAAATAAAACTTAAAAAAGACACAGAGACAGTGATTTTCCATCCATGAGTTCACCCCCCAAATGCCTGCAACAGCCAGGCTGTGCCAGACCAAAATCTAGGAGCCAAGAAAACCACCAAGTCTCCCATGTGGGTGGCAGAACCCAAGTATTTGAGCCACAATCTGCTACCTCCCAGGGTACATATTAGCAGGAAGCTAGATTGGAAGCTAAGGAGCTAGGATTTGAATAAGGCACTCTTAACTGCTGTGCCAAATGCCGATACCTCCACCCCCCCAATTTTTTTTGCAATTAGCACATGGAAAGAATGGCATGTAAACAATGGAGATAGTGCCATTAAGTCAAGGAACTATTGGAAGCTAGAAGGCATGGAACAGACTCTTCTCTAGTACTCTAGAGGGAGCAGGGCCCTGCTGACACCCTGATTAGCCTTCTGGCCTCCAGAACTGCTAGACAAGTTTCTGCTGTTTTTGCCAAACAGTTTGTGGCACTTTGTATGGCAGCTCTATGAAACAAATATACCCATGTCTAAAAAGATTTCTCAAGTGTGATCCCAGGGATGAAGATGATCTTACCAAACAGGATGCCTCCCACATTTTTATTAGGAATTTGTTTACGCAAATAACTGAAGACAATCAATTATGAATTATAGAAGAGGGTCCCAGAGACAGAAGATATTTATTCTACTTACTGCAAATGTTTGCAGCTAGAGAACAGAACAGACACAAGAAAGCTGGAATCAACCAGAGGAAGAAAGCTTGAATATGAACCTAAACAACTCATATGACAGAGCAATTATCTCACTGCATTTATAATGTAGAAAATGGCTCTGTGATATGTTTCACAAGTGATGTCAAATGTATTGGTTTTCAACATAGCAGCGGGGACACCTAAGACAAGACTCAGAGGTTCACATTCATTCATGGGTCAAGAAGGTTGGACTTGGAGCCAGAACTGTGGCATAGCTGCAGTGCTGAAATCCCATGTGGGCGCTGGTTTGAGTCCCAGCTGCTCCTCTTCCAATCCAGCTCTCTCCTATGGGCTGGGAAAGCAGTGGGTGATGGCCCAGGTGCTTGGGGCCCTGCACCCACGTGGGAGAACTGAACAATCTCCTGGCTCCTGATCAGCTAAGCTTTTGATATTGCAGCTATTTGGGGGAGTGAACCAGCAGATGGAAGGAACTCAATCTCTTTCTCTCTCTCTCTCTCTGCCTCTCTGTAACTCTGGTTTTTTTTTGTTTTTTTTGTTTGTTTGTTTGTTTTTGTTTTTTTTTTTTTGACAGGCAGAGTGGACAGTGAGAGAGAGAGACAGAGAGAAAGGTCTTCCTTTGCCGTTGGTTCACCCTCCAATGGCTGCTGTGGCTGGCGTGCTAAGGCCGGCGCACCGCACTGATCCAAAGGCAGGAGCCAGGTGCTTATCCTGGTCTCCCATGGGGTGCAGGGCCCAAGGACTTGGGCCATCCTCCACTGCACTCCCGGGCCACAGCAGAGAGCTGGCCTGGAAGAGGGGCAACCGGGACAGAATCCGGCGCCCCGACCGGGACTAGAACCCGGTGTGCTGGCGCCACAAGGCGGAGGATTAGTCTACTGAGCCGTGGCGCCAGCCGACGCTGTTTTCAAATAAATAAATCTTGGAAAAAAAAAATAAGAAGGTTGGAATAGATGTCACTCTCCAAGGTCACTTACACATTTGTCATTCTGTGCTTTCACAAGTTTATATCCTTGGACTTCTCATAAAAAAATTTTTAAAAGTCTTCTACAGGACAAAATCAAAATTGATAAAACATAAGGAAATTCTTGAGAGGGCTGTATTTTCACCATCTACTTTTCAGCACTTCTAACATGTAAATAGGAGAAATAAGTACCTTTGCATTTTAATTGTGTGTTTGTGTGTTTCAAGGTAATAGCCACTTATTTCTTTCCCCTTTATCCATCCAGTTTTGGAGAATTGTTATTGAAATTAATAGGCCAGGATTTAAACACTAACATACTACTCTTGCACTGCAGAAAAATCAAATTCATCCTGGCCCATCCTCAGACAAAACATATGGGTCACTTTCTGATTCTCGGGCTTCAAATCAGATATACTCTATGCTGCAGCCTTTGTTCTCCCCAAGACTCACCTCAAAGATACTGTTTGGGGCAACATCATTAGACTTATTAAGGTTACAACCAATTCTATCTCCACATTCCAAAGCAAAAACAGGAAAGCCTTGTGAGTGACTGCATAGTGATGAAATGAATAGTCCATTAAATACTGAAGTGCGAAGAAGCTTGGTAATGTTTTAGCTATTTATCCCAACAGTCAGTCATTGGAATGGGAGCAAGCCTTTATCATGGTGGCTAAACAACCCAGCTATGTATGACCTAAGGAAACTCAGTAAATCTGAAGAGCCTTCTTGTCTTGGGGAAGAATTTCAGTTACAGGAATTATCTCATTCACTTAACGGGTTGTGTTGTTTTCTGGTTCTCAACATGTTTTTTTTCTAAGGTTCCCAGTTTATTGGTAATCTTGCTCATAAATGTAACACAACTGCCTCTAACACTGCCAAGAACGTTGAGAAATGCTCTCTGTGCTCCAGTTAGAAAATGCCATGGGAGTTCCAAGAATAGAAAACATTGACCAGGGTATTTAGCACTAGATTGACAGAACTTGGCTCAGACCTGCAATGCCAAAGCATGGCTTCCAACCATGGCTTGGCTTCAAGGCCCACTGTGGTTCTGCACTAAGCTCAAGTGCCTTTGGGTTTTTGGTTTTGTTTAGTTTTATAAGAAAATTTACAAATAACTTTGCAAGAATGTGATCCTTATAAGCACTATTAGATTATCTTCAGAGAGCAAAACCCAGTGAAAAAGTCAATCATCACCTTTTCAAATCTCATGCACCGCTGAATCACAATAGGGAACACAGATGGAAAGCAGTCTGTCTCCAGGTACTGATTCAAGAGGTAGATGCCGAGGAAAACATCCTGCTTGTCAGGCAGGAACACTCCTGGGCAAGAAACCTTAAGAAGAAAATGAGAGAGCTAGCAGGGCTTCTTTTTGTTTTGTTAAACAAGGCTCTATTTCTATTAACCACCCACAATCGCTGAGATCTGCTCCAGCCCCACACTCGATCACCTGCACCCGGCAGCAGCAAGGTCCTCCCCCAAGTCCTCTCCTCCCTCGCACAGGAAATTCCAGTTCCCCGCCACGTCTCCGCCAGGTGTCACAATCGCGCTCCCGCCGCCGTCTCCCCCGCACCTCCGGGATGGCCGTGCGGAAGCGGAAGAGGCTGCAGGACCGGGAAGCCTCTGGTTAGGCCCGCCGGCTCCCGGGGCAGGGCCCCCAGCCGCGATGTCGAGCCCCCGGAGGAGCGTCGAGGGACGGCCGCTGAGCGCCTCCTCCTCCAGCAACAGCAGCAGCCCCGGCAGCCCGGCCCTTGGCGGCGGCAGGTTCGAGTTCCAGTCCTTGCTCAGCAGCCGCGCTCCGACCACCGAGCCCACCTCCGCCCGGCTCCGCGCATCCGAGAGCCCGGTGCACCGCCGCAGCTCCTTCCCCTTGGCCGCAGCGGGCTCCTCGCAGGCGCCCCCGCCCTCGCTGCCCGAGGATGACCGCATGGACCTGAACCCCTCCTTCCTGGGAATCGCCCTGCGCTCCCTACTGGCCATCGACCTATGGCTGTCCAAGAAGCTGGGGGTGTGCGCCGAGGAGAGCTCGTCCTGGGGCAGCGTGCGGCCGCTTATGAAGCTGCTGGAGATCTCGGGGCATGGCATCCCCTGGCTGCTGGGCACCCTCTACTGCCTGTCCAGGAGCGACAGCCCTGCCGGGCGCGAGGTACTCATGAACCTGCTCTTCGCACTGCTGCTGGACCTGCTGCTGGTGGGCCTCATCAAAGGGCTGGTCCGCAGGCGGCGCCCGGCCCACAACCAGATGGACATGTTTGTGACCCTCTCGGTGGACAGGTACTCCTTCCCCTCGGGCCATGCCACAAGGGCTGCCCTGGTGTCGCGCTTCATCCTGAACCACCTGGTGCTGGCCATTCCACTGAGGGTGCTGGTGATCCTGTGGGCCTTCATCTTGGGCCTCTCCAGGGTCATGCTGGGGCGGCACAATGTCACCGACGTGGCTTTTGGCTTTGTTCTGGGCTACATGCAGTACAGCATCGTGGACTACTTCTGGCTGTCACCCCACAATGCTCCGGTCCTCTTTGTACTGTGGAATCAACAATGACATCATCTCACTGGCACCAGGAGGTCTGAAGGTTTCCACATCCGGTGTTGCCCAGCTAAACCAGCTACATACAGTTTGCCCCTGTATTAAGAGATTCCAGGCTTACTTTGGGATTTCAGGTGTCCCACGGTCCTGATATGTCGCTAGGCCAGAGCATGTGCTAGTCTTTTCTGAAAACAGTCATATTAGGGGAAGAAAAAACAAAAACAAAAAAAACCCTACTGTATATTTATTTAATAACGGTTTATATCTCCAAGACAACTGCAAAGAAATCAAGCTGGGGTGGTTATATTATTGCTGGTTTTTGAAAGTTGACATCACTAAGGTTGGTTTTGTAATCCCATCAGTCAACAAATCACTTGTAAATTGAAGTTTGAGAAAGAAACATATTCTTCATTCAGTAAATACTTATATACATGCAAATAAGCCACATCCTAATCCTAATCCTCTTCATGAGCTAAGATTTTATACAGTATTCTAAAAGTCTAAGGCATAGGTTTTCCAATGTATTCCCTGGAGATCTATTGCCACAGCTGGGGAGATTTCTTCTTAATTCTGATTTTCCTGGTAAGCTTCTTTCTTTGTTGTCTCTTCCGTTTTTGTGGACTGGGTAATGAGAAAATAAATTGTTGTACCTGTCTTTCCATCCTCTCCCCCTACATCTTAAAAGATCTTGAGATATTTGTTTCCCACTACTCTAATACCGTCCTTTAGTATTCAGAGAATAAGCCAAGAACTTTGTTGAAGAAGCAGAACTTAAACGGTATGCGTATCTAAGGTGCTCACAGAAAAGTAAGGATGCGAGTATGGCCTCATGGTTCTCATGACAACTAATAACATGTCAAGACAGGCCACAGAAGCAATTGCTGGGGAAAATCAGAGGAACTGGAAGTTTGGAGGTAGACTGCCCACATGGCATGCTGATGACCAGGCTGGCAGGAGATGGGGCCCGGCTGCCTGTCATCTCTACTAAGTAAATAATAATGCTCTTCTTTCAGGATAATGAAATGAGAAAGTAAGCTGATTCTTTTTAATGCAAGAGAATAAGCTTAAATATGCCACAAGGATGACCCTGTATTCTATAGTTTTTCCTATGGAATCCAGTTTTCCTGTATTTTAGGTGGCAGTATTGAATTTGTAATTCATCAATTTACAAGGCACAAGGCAGACCTACTACATTTCTGTCTACACTGACCTTTACATTTAAAGTTGTTCATCCATGGTGCCTTTCCAAATCATAAAACCAAAGACCACCTAATATATGGTGGGCTCTCATCATTATTTGGCCCAGAAAGACGGGAGAGTATGCACTTTGAATACTGCTCTACCTGAAAGGAAAACTTCTATACTACCCATGAAAATGGTGTCTTCAGATAATCTTAATTACCCATTATTTTGGCATGTATAAATAGAAAGCATTCCATAAACCTTTGATTTGACAGAGGTGCAGATGAAATCTTAACAGAATGGCTGTGATGCATGGGCTCTGACTGCAGGAAAGCATGGCCTTCCCAGAGGGAAGAGCACCCTGAAAGAGGGACAGCTAGTCCCATAAATAAAATGAAATCATTGGCATCCTCACAGTACCCTGAACACTGACTACCTCTTCACTTGGAAAAGCAGCCAAACTGTGAAGCTCTAAGTGGTTTGAGCTTGTGGTTTAACCTTAGAAAGAGCCTTCATTTTAATCACAGCAATATCCAGGCCAGATTTTTGGAAGCAATGATATTTCCTCTTGCAGCATCCTAAGTCTGAATATTGAGGGTCTACCTTCTGGTTCATAGTTGTGCTTCTAGGATTCCTTGCTTTAGTTGCTGGGGCCTGAGTTTGCTGACTTTTAAAGCACAGATCAATTCACCTGACTTTCTGAAGCACCCTAAGTACTATAGCATAGAAAACTGGTTTCTTTATTACGCCAAGTTGTACACTAATGAATGCTTTTAAAAACTCAGAATAAATAATGTTGAATGAGGTGACATGAAAACTTGCTTCATTTTTGCCTTCAGGAGGGAAACTGATATATCATTCAATTTCTCAATGGCTCCTTCATCTTCCTGTACAATTTTGAGAGCTTTAATTGACAGCACAGTTGATACCAACTGGCTCTATCTGCTGTCAGCAAAGTGGGACAAATCCAGGACTTTTGATCATGTCTCACAGCTGCATGTATGATGAAACCACAGCATTTTCCAATTGCACAGAGGCTGTCCACACATGCCATGGCAGTGTCCTGCAAGCATTATGTTTGTAATTGCGGCCAGTAGAGAAGCTCCTAGTAACTTGGAGGCAAAGCTGCATGTCAGTCACTAAGTACAAATGGACTGGAAAATGAAAGCTGAAATGGCATAAGGGAGGACTGACTGTAGTTGTTGTCCTAGGACCTCACTTACAAGGGTTAGATGGATAATCATAAAACATTTGTCGAGACAGGCACTGGGAGCAGCCGTAAGCTACTGTGTGGGAAGCCAGCATCCTGTATCAGAGTGCCTGGGTTCAACCTGCAGCCACTCCACTTCTGATTCAGCTTCCTGCTAATGCACATCCTGGGAAGCCACAGATGACGGTTCAAGTGTTTGGGGAGACTGGCAGGATCCTGGCTTCTGCCTGGCCCAGCCCTGGCTGTTGCTGGCATTTGGGAAGTGAATGAGCAAGATGCAAGTTTTCTCTTTTTTTTCTCTCTCTCTCCCTGTTCATCTTTTCAAGTAAACACTTTTTTTTAAGTTATATTATTCCCTGGTTATTAAAAGTAAGTTTTTAAATCCTTTTGTAAATCTTTATCCTAGAAAAGAAAATCTTCCTTGGACTTAATGCAGGGTTATTTTAAAAGAAAGGAAAAGCTCAGGATAAAGCTAAGAAATGTTGGCTTTAGTTAAACAACAAAAAAAAAAAGAGGTTGGAACACTTGAGCTGCAATAGGACGTCGGGGGAGGCCAATGTGGACAATCTTAGGGACAAGGGTACCATCTGCCCAAAAGATAAAGATGGGTGTGTGTGTGAAGTGGGAGAGAGGTGGCACTAAACCATAGGGACAGTGTAAAAATCTGACGAGGTTATGGGTCTCTTACCGCCCGGATCTGCAGTTCCACCACCACCTCCAGAGGCATCGTTCCCTGCGTGGGCGAAACGACCGGAATGAAAAGATCCTTCCGTGCAGTCCTGGAGCAACCTTTCTTAGTTTAGCTCAACCCCTAGAGCAAGTGCTCCCAGAAACTTCCCCAGCCCCCTGCCCCACCCCGTCCCCCATCTGTCCCCGCCAGCCCGGGTCCCTCCCACCGGGACGGGTCTCACAACCGGAGCTGGAGTGTAAGCTTCCAGAAGGCGGAAGCGTCGCGTTGCCATGGGCATCCAAAGCTCCGCCTTCCACCGGGGACGCGCGCACGCCCTGCGCTCCGCTGGGAACGCGCGCTCTGGACGTCTGCTTAGCGGGCCCTGCGCTGGCGGGAGGGGCTGGCCGGGTCCGGAAGCAGTGGCCAGATCTCTAGGTGCTAGGGAACCTAGTTTTCTTTCCCTCGACTCTCTTAATGGCCCCAGGAGCTACGTTAAAATGTTCAGTTTCCATTCAAAATGTGGAATGAGAACATAGCTCCGTCATAATTTAAGTACGACTCATTTTTAGTAACTAAGCGACCCCTAAACCCTGGAACTTCTGTATGATGATTTAATACAGTTACCTGCCCTTAAAAAGTATTCTCTTCCTTATTAAATGTTATATCTTCATGTTTGGCTTAGAAAACACAGTCATCATCAAAAACAAGAAATTAAAACGTGTGCTAGTTAGAAACCCAGCAATAATCAAAGTTTATAAATTAGGTTACCTACAATGGAAATATTTGTCAGTCTTTCTTCAGCGCATTGTTCAGGTTTTTCAGGGGTTTAGTTAATCTAAGAGAAGCGTTGAATTACATCATCTCCCAATGAGTAGTAACCTTATTTACCCAAAGCCACAGTTAACAGTAAAAAGAAAGAGAGAGAGAGAGAGAGAGAGAGAGAGAGAAAGTAAGAAAAAATAGTGGGCAGGGCTACAGTTGTTACTAGTAGAGAGGGAGTCACTTTTTTTTTTTCTGTTCACTGTATTTGCCCAAAACTGAAGGGGAAGGAGTTGCTGCTTTTAACCAATCTGAAAAATCTGTCTCTGAAAAGAAAAGAAAAAATCCTACATAGTGTTGAGTCATTTATTGCTAATATTTTGCAGTGAGATTTAGGCAATTGGAAATAGTGCAGAAAGATTTCCCAAGACAAAAGTTAGGTGTTTGTTTCTCTGATTGGAGTCCCTGGAAGGGAAAAACCCAGTGTGATGAAGAAGCATCTATTGTGTCCTTATTCAATTCCTGTGCTCTCTCTACATGTCATGAGATACCAAGTGGCCGCCAGACCCCTATAATGTGCAGAACACCTATTTGTCACTGACTCACCTGTTTGTCACTCATGTTAATAAGTCACCAACACCAAAGCTAAGGTGTCAAAAGTGATAACCAAAACAGGTTAGTAAATAAGTAGCAGAGGTAAAATAGAAGAGAGAAATCAATACTAAGGATCTAAAAAGTGCTAGGAACATTGCATATGCTAATTCATTTCATCCTCACAATAACTCTCTGAAGCAGAGACTGTTATCCCTATTTTCAGATAGAGACAGCCACATTTGAATCCAGATGTGCCCCACCACATTACTGCCCTACAGCATAGACATCCTATTGCTACCTGGAGATACAGTGTCCCATCCAGCTCTCTTCCTATTCCTAACTTCTGATATAACTGGCCTCTCTTGCTTAGCTGCTGACAGCCTTCTCATTTCCCTCCAATTCTGGTCATCCTTTTTCTGTCTCTGTTTATCCTCCTCTGCCTGGCTAAGCAACGTTTTTAGGTCCTCTCCTTTCCTTGCTCTATACTCTTAACTTGGGTGCCATCCAAAATGGGTATTGATTAACACATGTACACAGATTCACTTATCCTTCTCAGGCCTCTCCTACTTCCCTGTCTGCCTTCTTCGGTTCCATACTATTACCCATATTTATCATCTTTGCAGCAACTGTCACACTAGCAGCTTTACATTTATTCTTGTGATTGCTGATTACTCTCTCCATAATCTGTATGTTCTGCATGGCTAAGTGTTTGCATACTAAATACCTGGCAAAGCAGATGCTCAACACATACCCTTGAGTAAATGTTAAAAGTGCAGAGATTATCAAACCAGTCTATAAGGGTTCATGTACGTGGGTAAGGGGAGGTCCTGCCACATCAGGGCAAATTAAATATGCATAATGAGAAAGAACAGAGTGCAGCAACTTCTGCTAGTATGCCAAGAGGATACTGAAGGGTAATAAATGAGCTAGCAGGGAATGTACTCTGTAAATTTTACCCACCATGATCACCAGAGGCTACTGGTTGCCATGGAGATGCCTCTGGCCCACCTGGCAAAGTATTCATCATTGAGGCTACCACCTCTGCGGGAGGCCAAGCAAAGCCATTCAAGGATCAGACTGTCACCACTTCAAGAGAATGGCTTTACTACCGTGTAGGTACCTCATGGTGGCAGCAAACAGATTCCAACAATTTATATTCCCAGAGTGCTTCTGCAATGCAGCTTTAACAGCAATGACATCAGCATTGCAGAAATGACACATCAGCACATCCTGCCCACATCCTGATGCCAAACAAGAAAACAAAAACTGACCCAAATGGGAATTTTCCAAAGAATAAGAATATGATTGTCAAACAATAATGGGCTGAGATTTTCCTTTTAACCAAAAATTAATTAAAAGACACAAAGTTATAAACATATTTTTTAAATAAGAGGGATATTCACATGAAGGCTGAAGCTCTGAAAAAAAAGAAGGCACTCATGAGAGGAGTATAGAGAAATAGTCACACATTGTTGGTGAGGTTGTAAACACATATAATGTACTCGCTTTCTATGACTACTGTAACAACACAAATTTAGGAGCTTCAAACAAACAAAATTATTATTTAAAGCTTGGTGGACCAGAAGTCCAACACATATCTCCGGGGACTAAAATGAAGGGGCCTGCAGACTGCATTCCTTTTACCCTTTCTATGTCCTTATTTTTCCAATGTTAAAGACTGCCCCTATTCCTTGACTCAAAATTCCCTCCCTCTGTCTTCAAAATCAGCAACATAGAGCTAAGTCTTTCTCATGCTGCCATTTCTCTGGTTCTCTTTTCCACTTTAAATAAATACATAAAATATATACATATATAAATATATTTTTAAACATCTTGTCCATTTAAAAGTTTAACTTCTTTTTTATTTACTTCAAAGGCAGAGCCAGAGAGAGAGAAATAGTTCATATGCTGGTTCACTCCTCAAATGCCCACAACAGCTGGGACTAGGGCTGAACTAGGCTAAAGGCAAGAGTTAGGAATTCTACCCTGATGTGTTGGTGGCATATGCCCAAGCACTTAAACCACCATCTGATGCCTCACAGGGTACACATTAGCAGGAAGCCAGATTGGAAGTTAGGTAGGAAGTTAGAAATTTAGCCTCTGTGTGTGTGAGACAGGCCTGAAGACTAGCACTTACTGCAAAAGCTCCAGAAGCCCAGCATTTTGCACTTCAAAGCCCTGCCCAGACCCTGGTTAACCTCCCAGGTGGTCCCAGCCCTTCCCCCAAGGAAAGCTCCCGGGAGAATTCTCTCTCCTAAGGGACCAAATGGGTTACCTGACCTGATAACATGGGGCAATAAAACCTTCACAGACCCGAAGGGAAGTCCCCCTACTCTGCCCTCCAGCAAATCTGAGGAGGAATTTGCTAATTTTCACCCAACAAACCCTACTGCTAGGACTCCCCATCCTTTGTCCTGGAGGAGAGTGGGAGGTGGGTAAACAGACTCCCTTAAAAACCTAGGGAAGTCCAAACAGACTGTGAGCTCAGCTCTGCCTCTTAGCTGAGCAGCCTGCCTGGCCTGCCCAGGTGTATTCTCTCCATTCAACCATGTAGCACTGCTCTCCCCCAGTCCGAGCAACTGGGCACTCTCTGTCCCTTCTGTTCTGATGAATGCCCTGTTCTCAACAAAGCCTGCTCTCTGTCTCACGCCTGAATTCTTTCTTGAGAAGACAAGAGCCCCATGGCTTCCATGGCCTTTCCTCCAGTGACAGAAGTACAGGCAAGACAATCCCAAGTATTCTGAAATGGAAAGTAGGTGTCCTAAGCAGCAGCTTAACCTGTTGTACCACAGCACCCTCCCCTCAGTCTTCCACTTTTATATTTCTGATTACATTGGAACCACCCAGATAACCCAGGATAATGCTCCTATTTTTAGAGTCAGATGATTAACAAACTTAATTCCACCTACAACCTTAATTTCTCCTTTATCATGTAAGATAACGTTTTTCCAGGAACCAGGATTTAGGGTATGGACATCTCTGGGACCTGTTATTCTGTCTATCACATGTAAATTCTCTGCAGAAAAAATTAATAATGTCCACCAAAATTTCTATTTGGCTCAGAAATTCCATGGCTAGATTTTATTCTAAGGGTGTGGTTTCACAAAAACACAAACACATATGCTTCACCATTATCTAATTTTATTTATTTATTTTGAAGAGGAGCAGACATTTGGTATAGCAATTAAGTTGACACTTGGAATGCCTGCATCCCACATCCAAGTGCCTGGGTTTGGATCTTGACTCTGCTCCTGATTCCAGCTTCCCTGCTAATGCAGACACTGAGATGCAGCAAGCAAAGGCTCAAGTACTCGGGTCCCTACCACCCACATGGGAGTTCCTGGCTCCTGGTTTCAGCCTGGACCAGCACAAGCCTTTGTGGGAGTTAAGACACTAACTACTTGGGAAACCTGCATCCCCTATTAGAGTGCCTGAGTTTGAGTCAAATCTCCTCTCTGGATTCCAGCTTCCACATAGTATGCACTCTGAGAGGCAGCAGGAAGTGACTCAAGTACTTGGGTCCCTGTCCCCTAAATGGGAGCTGCAGATTGAATTCTGTGCTCTTGACTTTGGTTTGGCCCAATCCCAGATATTACAGGAATTTGAGGAATGAATCAGCAAATCTCTATCAGTCATAAAATGAAAATACAAATTTTAAATATTCATAACAATTTTCAAAAATCTTTAACATAGCTTCAAATAAGAAAAGCCAAGGGCCAGTGTTGTGACACAGAAGTTAAGCCTCTGGTTCAAATGCAGGCATCCCACAATGGGACAGGGATTCGATTCCCACAGTCCTGCTTCCAATCCATCTCCTTGCTAATGTGCCTGGAACAGTAGCAGATGATGGCCCAAATACTTGGACCCCTGCCACCCACATGGGAGACTCAGAGTTCTGGGCTCCTGATTCCATGCTCCAGCTATTGCAGCAGATAGATCTCTTTTTCTCTGTCCATTTCTGCTTCTCTCTCTGTCACTCTTTCAAATACACAAATCTTTTTAAAAGGAAAAATAAAAGTTATCATATCCTTTCGTGAATCTCCTAACAAAACAGCCCATCAAGTAGCTGGCACTATGGTGTAGTACCTGCAGCGCCAGCATCCCTTATGAATGTCGGTTCGTGTTCTGGCTACTCCTCTTCTGATCCAGCTCTCTGCTATGGCCTGGGAAATCAGTAGAAGATGGCCCAAGTGCTTGGGCCCCTGCACTGCGTGGAAGACCCAGAAGAAGCTCCTGACTCCTGACTTTGTATTGGCCCAACTCTGGCCATTTGCGGCCATTTGGAGAGAGAACCAGTGGGTGGAAGATCTCTCCCTCTCTCCCTCTTTCTCTAACTCTACCTTTCAAGTAAATAATTCTTAAAAAAAAAAAAAAAAATAGCCCACCGGGGCTAGCGCTGTGGCACAGTGGGTTAACGCCCTGGCCGGAAGCGCTGGCATCCCATATGGGTGCCAGTTCGAGACCCGGCTGCTCCACTTCCTGTCCAGCTCTCTGCTATGGCCTGGGAAAGCAGCAGCAGATGGCCCAAGTCCTTGGGCCCCTGCACCCACGTGGGAGACCTGGAGATAAGCAAATTACTGTGATATGTAATACAAGTAATTCAGAAAGAAACCCATTTAAAGGCACTATATTATTAGAACAGTGGTTTCTGCATCCAAAACAGAAGCAGGCAATTTGAGTACTTTTTTTTTTTTTTTTTTTTGCCAGGCAGAGTTAGACAGTGAGAGAGTGATATAGAGAGATTATATTGAGTACTTCTCTAAGTCCATACACTTCTTGGGAATTTTCCTCAAGAATCAGGAATACTTCTAGGAAGGAGTCAAATTACAACCAAACCGCTTTTCACAATTTTAAAGTCATTTGGGATCTAGATCCACACATGGGAACCATTTTACAAAATTTTCTTAGAATTCATGAGTCAGGTTCATATGTTACTCTCTGTGTTGTGCTTTGATTCACTCGTATTTGCAGGCTCAGTCCTTATATAATTCCATAAGCAATGTCCTTGGCCATTTGGACATAGCCCTTCCATCTAGAAGTAATTTCTATAGAGAAAAAAAATTAACATGGTCTTTTAAGGTTCAGCTGGCTAGCTCTATGAGAGGAGTAGATAAATTATGACACAAAGCAATTTCTAAGGAATTCTATTATCCTATATAAGAAAGTGGGAGAGAATGATTAAGTTTTAAGACTTAAGTTCCAAATATCTACTCTGCTTGGGTACTGGATTTAGACCCTGAAATCACCAGTGGCTCAAGATGAGACTACCTCTGATTTCATGATGTCTATTCCTTCTTCTAACAAAACATAACTGTGTTCCTTTTTTACTCTCGTCTGCCTTTATTTAATCCTGCATCTTGTCTTCTATCCTTGTTTCTATCCTTTATTTCCTATTCATTTATTCAGCACATTTTTATTGAGTTCCTACTATGTGCCAGATATTGTTATAGGCAATGCAGGTAAAAGGGTGAACAAGAAAAAAAACTGTGCTTTTGTGGAGTTTAGATTCTAGTGGGGAAGAAAACATAATAAATGAGTAAACATAAAAAAGATAATAATAGTATGATGAATGGTGGGAAGGAAAATATCAAAGGTGGTGAGACAGAATGTTACAGGTTAGAGCATAAGAGTCCAATTAGACTCAGCTGCCAAGTTGGTCTCTCTAGGGTAAGACATTTCACCTGAGAAGCATGACCACGACTGAGATGTTAAACGAGCTAATAGAAATATACTGGCAAAGGGAACAGCAAACACAAAGGGCCTGAGTCAGGAGAAATGGGTGTTTGAGGAATGGAATGGCCAATGAACATACTAACAGAGACCTAGAGCAGGGAGTTACGGAGTTACAAGATGACGCTGAAGAATTAGGTTGCCACTAAATTGCACAGCAACTTAAAGAATTAAAACAGTCAATGTGATTATTTACCTAACAGTCATAACCTCTTCTTCCTTGTCAACAGAACCCTAGTTGTGTTTGGACGAAAATGCATACAGTTCCAGGTAATAAATCATAATTTATTAAGCCAGTTCTGGCCAATAACATACAAGACAGTCACTAGAAGCTTCTGGAAAATATATTTATCCCTAATATAAAAGCCATAAGTAAATAAAGCTATTTTTGCCTCCTCTCTCGCTTCCTGCTTTAGCTGTTGTTATGTTTTAATTTCCAGAGCTAGGGTACCCATCTTGCAACCATGACATAACAAGCCTAAAGATGCAAGTCACCAATTGTTGGACAGTAGAGGAATAACCTGGGTCATTGCTACAACTGGCAAATGTTAAACCTATCCTGGGACCACAAAGCTTTATCCTTTTTGTTCAGTAAACAATAAATGTCCCTACAGTTTAAATATCTTTGAGATTTCAGTTACTTGCATTGAGAGAATATAACTGATATAGGTGGGATATGACATGATCTGATTTAGATATGTGCAGCAACTGTACAAATACATTATATAGTGAAAGAATGGAAGAGAAGCATGGACAACTTCTCCAGTAGTTCTCAGAAGGGAGCATGGTCTCCTGACCTAAGCAGAGAACAGTAAAGCTGGAGAAAACTAGATTCAAGGCACATTTGGGAGGAAAATCACAGGACTTGCTGACGGTTTAGACATGAACAGTGAAGAACGGTTTAAGCCCAAGATTTTGGACTTGATCGTGATGTCATTCATTGAGAAGACAGAAATAAGAGGTTTGGGGAAGGAAGTGGGATCCAGAGTTGTTTTTTGGATGTATTAAATGTACAATCTGTATGAGTCATTCAAACAGAGATGTCAAATCAGCAGGTAAGCATATTTCTCTGAAGTACTGTGGTAAGGTCAGGGCTTGAATTGCAATTTGGGAATTGTCAATTTAATGTTATTTAAAGCCACATAAGTAGACAAGATCGTCCCCGCCAGCCAAAATATGAGGAAATCTAAAACTAGAGGCCTGCTAGAACACAAAACTGAAGAGAAATAGTGAAAAGGTAGGGGGAAAACCATCATCACCATCAGCATCATTTAGTATTTTTGTAGAGCTTACTTTATGCCAAGCATTGCTCAACTCACCACGTGGCTTCATGACAGTAAAGAGAAAAAAGTGCTGTCCTTTTCTTTCTCCCTTTCTGTTTTCTCCTGTGGTTTTCACTCTTAAACTCAGTTGGTTTAGATGCAGTGCTTCTCAACTTTCATTTGTAATGATTAAGTTCTATAGTCACTGGAAAATATTCAAATAGCATAATAGAGGAGTTGAACGTGGAAAGATCCTCAGAAACTTT